TTAGGACATAATACTACACTTTAGGAATCCTACGTGAACCAAACGAATAAAGACAAAACCCCAAATTGGAAGGAACTATTATACATTCAAAGTCATAAAACTACGGTAGGTTTATGGCTTTATATTGGACACCCAACAAGGATTTAAAGAGAAAAACTTCAAACTTAAACAGATATAGCAAGAGAGTTCTTCTGGTATGGTCTTTTAAGCAACTAAAAGTAAAAAGTAACAAACAGAAAAAAGGATATAATATGTCATATATCTATGCATAGAGAGTATAAAACTTATTTAAAAGTTAAAGCACAAAAGACAGATGTTGTCCCTTTTATTTTTTATATTTTTTTCTTTTTAATTAATATCTTAATTTGGTCTATTCTAAATTTTAAGCTGCAACTGGTAAGTCACTGTTATGTTTACTACTTTAGTAAATCAGTGTAATATTTAATAAAAAAAAGAGGAAAAAGAACTCTTCAATAAAGAAGCAATTTTTCGTCAAATAATAAAATATAAATTAAATAAACAAGACAAGTACTCATTAAGAAGGAATAAAAAATTTCACTACAAAATTTTTTAAATACAAAAGAAAATAGTTTTTCAAGAAGTATTATCTAATTTAAGAAGGAACAAAATTGTTCTACCAAGAAACACAAAAATATGTAGGTATTTTTTATTTTGTTTAGAGACATGATTATTTAGTTAAAAAACTAAATGAAAGCTTTAGAGATAGGTCATTGAATTCTCTATCCTTTACATTCAGTAAACAAAAATTACTTGTATATCGTAAAAACTGTGAACATGCTTATGAAGATTAGGTGCAAGATCAAATGAAAGTAACTACCATACAGTTTTGTGCTTACAAGTTAGGAAAATCATTCAATTGATAATATTGCTAAAACTTGGGTTGCGGAAAGCAAATTCTTGTGTTGCTAAAATATTGAATTTTCATCTGCAACATTGCACTCTTTTATTTTATCTTGCAGATTTTAAGGCGAGTTTAACTTTTTAATTATAATTTGTAGATATGACATACTTTTATTTTCTATTTTACATATAAACATAGTTACTCTATGAGGTGGGAAGAAATTAAAAGTATTAAACATGCGATCTAGAGTTTAGAGAGAACGAATGAGTCATGCTTACTAAAATAGAATCTAAGATTTTCTTTTGTGTTTATTTATTTACTATACTTTTATGTAATATCTATTTATAATACCCATCGATATGACTTGTCTGTTCATGTTTCAGTTTCTAATAAAGTCAAATTCTTTAATTTTTCTGGATTTTATATTATTTGTTTTAATTAAATTAGAAGGTTAACCTTTTTCTTCTTTTCCATCGTACCTTTTAAGTAAAAATTGAACAGTATAAGCAAATTATATAGCATAATTGTCCATAACAAATAAAGTGAATCAATATGGATATGCTTATAAAATAAGAGAAGAGTATAAGAAAGAACAGAAATAATCATCATAAAGTGGATTGATTATCTTTTGCAGGTAAATATATAATTTATGTTGAAAGAATATAAAAATGGTTGGAATTCTTCCTAATGCGTATGAAAAAGACTACCATGAAGCAATAAAAAAACTTATGGAAATGGAAGGAATATATCTTTTAAATATCATAGCTTATTCTTTGTAATCACTATAATAATTAAATTAATTTCTAATAATATTATTACTGTAGACATTTAGAAATAATAAAAAAGTTAGCCACTAATGCTATATTATAATAGAATAGTAAAAGAAAACGTTGCAAATTTGTTTTAGGAGGAGCATAATTTTTATCATATTATATTTTTATTGTAGATAGAAATATTATAAAGTCTTACCCTTTGATAAATGAAACTTCTTATTTCCTATAATTGTTGTAGAATTTTTTTTTTTGAGCAAAAGAAACCAAACGTGTTCGCACAAGAATTTGACTTTCTACGTTAAAAATGACTAATATTTTTTAATACTTTTACAACATATAATCACGGCTCAATCGCTAATATTGAATTATTTGTCTTAACATGATTTTCCATTTGGGTAGTAACAAAAGAGGAAATGTATACTTAGAACATCAAATTTAAATTATAAATTATTAAGAGGATATGATTCTAATCTTTTGTACCTCATCAAATAAATATAATATAATAAAAATAACAGTAACTAACCTTAAATTTTATACGATTGGCGGGGAATATCGTGCAACACATGTTTTCTCGGAGTTCTACAGATATATTGGATATCAATGTACTGTTTGGTGAAAAAGTAATCCATCATATTAAATTCGTTTAAACTATAATACATAATTATCTAACTAACATGATTAAATTGATCATTTGTGTAAGTTCTGATGATATCCTTTTATTTTGAATTTACGTATAATGCTAATGTAATAATATTTTTACCATTTAGATGATTGTTGTATTATTATACATAAAATTTCTTTTATTAATTAAATTTTATTGTTCCTTCGTATAAATAAATGTTTAAACTATCACGTGTCATTATTAACGTGCAACACACGTTCATAGATACTAATAACATGAAAAGAAGGTATTATTAATAATATTTTTATTTAGAGTGGGGTGGGTAGGTCGGCGTAGGGCAGGGGTTGGGGGTCGGGTAAGTCATGAATATTGAGGGGATTCTCCAAATGAAGATAAAAAGTGAATGGAGAGACTATCTTCTTTCTCCACTATTCATAAGGCCACCCCTCCATCATAAAATAAAATTAAAATAAGAAAGAAAGAAATTAGTACCCGGAAACATAACTAAAAATTTAACATCTTCTGATTCAATAAGATCATAAAAATAGGGTAGTTAAAAAAAATTGCAAATATGTTCTTCCAATTGTCCCATATGATATGATCCACTAGAAACATGGGTCATAGAGCTTGTTCTTGCTGCTTAATAATGACTGGCAATGAATTATGTCCTCTTTTCCCCTGCCCCAAACTCAGCCCACTCTAGTCTCCCATCTTCCTATAAATATACCTACATACTCTCTTTCCATATTTTCAAAATATTTAGACCAACCAAACATGAAAAAATTAAAAAATATTTTTCTTCATACCAAACACACCCTTAATCTTTGACAATTTTCTGATGCGTAAATATAGGATTACAAAGAACGTGGAATAGAAAATAATTTTGTTGTTAATAAAAACATGGTCTTGTATACTTAAGAACCGCTAAACAGCAGTTAACTCTAAGGATTCTTAATTTTCCAAAAAGAGAAACACCGAAAAACTCGATGCATATTATAGTAGAATATTAAAATTATAAGTGGATAATGCCAATTTTTACAACTACTTGTGATATTCTTCAATGAATATATGGAACAAAAGGCAAAAGTTTGAAAAAGTGGTGGCAAGGGTAGATAAAAGATGACTTCATTAGAAGTCTCCTGAGCTTTCAACATAACTTTAGTAGAGGTGGGAACCAAATTCACGTGCTTTTGATTACAAAATACCAATCAAATCAAATTGAAATGATACTTCCAACTTTAGGTTTTGAAAAGAACGATAAGATTTTGGAAATCATAATGAATATAATGTACGTTAGAAGAGAAAAGAGGCTCCTCTTCATTGTGGTCACACTCTTTTTATTAAAGCTAAGAGTTTGCTTGCTTCCTATTTTCTCGTGACCACCTCAAAAGTTTCAAATTTAAGGAATTGAATTTTCATTTTCCCTCTAATAACAACAGAAATTTAAATAGTGTTATATTTATAGAAATATTTTATTTATCCCATAATTCAATTCAGTTGAGTCGTCAATACTTAGCCCGAGGTTTCGTTCAGTCTAATAAGAGTAATATTTTTTACATTGTCTTTGTTCCAGTTGTCACGTGGTTTAGTCGGTTTTTAAATATCCATTGACACCCCTATGTGCTACAATTGGTCGAGTCAATAAACAACTCTCAAACCTAAATTTGGATAGTTTGACATATTATGATCCCGTTTGGCCATAGATTTTGGCTTTATTTTTTCAAAAAAAATTGAAAACATTGTTTGTTTATGAAATATGATCATGTTTTGGAGAAAAAAAAATTCAAAAATTTTAAGTTTCCAAAAACTGGTAACGAAACTTTTTCTTCCACTCACAAAATTTCAAATTTTCTTCAAATAAAATGCATGTCCAAACACAACTTCAGCTTTCAAAAAATATTTTTCAACACAAATTCAAAAACTCATTTATCAAGTTTCAATCAAATCTACGTCCACACGCTTGCTATATATCTCCACTTTTATGAGTAAAATTTGATACCCCTAATTCAATGCAAGACAACTACTTTCTCAAAAATTGGTTCACCATAAAAGTACTTTAGTTTATAACTCATTTGCATTTAAGTAACGAAAAGAATACACAAAAGATAATTTCCTTGAGCAAATTTGTTATCCGAAAGTGCCACCTAAATTGGAACAAATAATTCAATTGGATATAATTGTTGATTAGAGTGTACCATCTAATCTGTGACAAATAATTTTAGAATAATGTAAAGATATAGTCAGTAGGAGTAGTATCAGCGACCAAAATTGCCAAGAAAGGCTTTTCACAATTTTAAGGAAATGCCAAAATTTTAAACTATTACGTACTTAGCTTTAAGGTCATATTGTGCACAGGGACGAAGCCACCTTTTATAAAGGGTGGTCAACTAACCATCTTTATCGAAAAATTACAGTATATATATAAGTAAAATATTAATTTTAGATGTAAAAAATATATATTGAACACCGTAGTGGAATACTGATTCTTATTCACGTAAATTAGCACTCACATCTCAAAGTTTAGGTCAAACAAAAAGAGAAAACTCTTCTCTTCGTTTTTTTCTTCCTAATTTTCTTTTGTTCTGATAGTCGAAGTCGAAGGATGTACTATTTAAAGCATGATTAGTATCCAATGCCGTTTAAAGCTGACAGCTTTAATTTGAACATAAATTTGAATTATGACAGACACTTGAACTTTGCTTTTCTGGACAAAATAATACATTCAGCAAAACAAACAAAAAGCTACACAATTGCTCTGACAAATCTTATATTAATTGTTGAGAGGTTGAAATTGAACACAGTAAGTATGTATTTTCTATGCAATAGAGACAAGAGAAACAGTTCAAATCTAACAATATCATCCAACTAAAACATTATACAACAACAAATAATTTAAAAATTAAAACCAAACATCTTCTTTAGCTCATACTATTTTGTAGCCATTACCCCCTTTTGACATTTCAACACTTGTTCCATTCCTAGTTCCAGGATAGTCCACTTCAGTCATAAACTTAGACCAGAACCAATGCTCTTTCCACACAATCACCATCTCTTCAATTGGTATATTCTTTGTCTCAGGCAAGAAGAAGTAAATGAACACAGTCATAACCACTACAAAGAATGCAAAGAAGAGGAACAATCCAAATTTCAAGTGACACAACATTGTCAAGAATACTTGCGCCACTATAAATGTGAAGATCATGTTCACTGAAACATTGATACTTTGAGCAGCTGATCGAATTTCGAGTGGGAAAATTTCACTAGGTACCAACCATCCTAGAGGTCCCCATGACCAAGCAAATCCAGCTACATAAACACAGATGAATATCACCACTACTATCGCGTACCACTTTGGTAAATCCCCTGGAGTTCCATTCACTCCAAACTTTATAGCTATGCAAATTGACACTGCTATCTGCACATTTATCAAAAATCAAGTTCAAGTGAGAAATGTGAACTTAATTTTCATATATGAAGAGCAGAATCCACTAAATCTAAATTCTAAATTTGCTACTGAAGACGAACATTATAACCAAGAAAATGGAAAGTAATTTAACTTACTTGGCAAATGAGCATTTGAACGCCACCTTCAAGGAACAAGAATCTTCGTCCCAATTTATCAACATAGTAAATAGAAACAACAGTTGCAAGAACATTGACTCCACCAGTAATAACAGCAGACATAAGGGAAGCATCAGCACCAAAACCAATAGTCTTAAACAACACTGGTGCATAGAACATAATCACATTAATTCCAGTAAGTTGCTGGAAAAATGGGATCATAATTGCCATTGTGAGATGTGGCCTATATTTCCTTTGCAACAAATTTCTCCAGGGGTTCTCAATTTTCCTAGATGCCTCACTCGCCACGACTAAATCATTAAACTCTTCGTCTACATCATCAATGCCTCTGATTCTCTTGAGCCTAGCTTTGGCTTTGTCGTGATTGCCACGTTCGATCATGGAATTTGGTGTCTCAGGAAGGAAAAGTGAGCCTATTGTGATGATCAATGCAGGTACCATAGCACCTCCTAAGCTCAATCTCCATCCCCAATGAATCTTGGCAAAGAAATAGTTCAACACATTTGCTACAAGTATACCAATTGTAATGGACAATTGAAAACCTATGTTGAGTGCTCCTCTGTATTTGTATGGAGCCATTTCAGATAGGTATAGTGGAACAGACTGCAATTTAATTAAACAAAAAGAAAAATGTTAATCGTCCCGAAAAAAAAAATTAAAGGAAAAAAAACCAAAAATATTTCTAAGGAAAACAAAAAAGCAAAAAGAGAAGGGAAATATTGTGTTTCTTTCAAGGGGGCCAGGCCACTTGTTCTTGTCACGATGGATAAGGACAGAGTGATATTTTCTTAATTAGACTAAGAAAATGGGAACATCATTTCATGATTAATACTATTAAATTTTATGACTTGCTACTTTTTAGTCAATTATAAACCAATTTGTTTATAGTACTAAATTAGTCATATTCATGAGCAAACGGTGGAAATAAATTCAGGCGCACGTCACTGTAATGGAGAAAACGAAATACAAACATATCCAAACGGCGAATTAAAGAAGGAGTTTTGTTAATCTCAACAACTAGCATTGGATTAAAATATTGTTTATGTGATATCATGACAATCACAACTTGCTGAAGAATCCCAAAGCAGATTCATTATTCAAATTAAGCTACTAGATTTTAGACTAAACAAAGGATTTTCAAAGATCTTGCGGAGAAATATGCACTGTATACGGTGCGTAGTGGGATTTAATTAGTTAAAAGTCTTTTTACAAGTCAGAAAGGTAGGGTCCTCCTACTTGGAGGGCTCAAAAGTCCAATCGACTGTTGATTTCATTTTCTTTTAACCAAAAAATGAAATAAATTAAAAGGGACAATAGAAAAAGATAAAAGCAAATGGAATTAGAAATGTGGGGAAAAGAAGATTTAATTTCTATACATAAGACTGTTATACCCTTTGAGGCCTCTTTTTTTAACTGTATTTAAAAGTAACATTCATGTGTGGTGTTAATAACTTGAAAAATAAGACAAATAATTTTTCGATCAAATTGCATATAAATATTAATTTACAGGATACTCCTATAGGATAAGATAAATTTTTTTAACAAAAAAGTGATGACATATGGTTTCAGGACTTTATGGCAAAAAAATCATGTGTTGCACATACTTGTCTGATCTACGTATTAAGTACGTACTTACTGTTGAAAAATATTCAGATCCGAACTGCGGGAAAAAGTGTTGACCAGCAACTTGCTATTACTACAGTATATTTTTACAGTTTTGAAACCAAGAAATAAATGCGTAAACAAAGAAACGTAATTCCATGGCAAAAACCAAAGAAACAGGAGAACCATATAACAGGACAACCTTGAAATAAATGAACAAAAAGGGAAACGAAAAACAGAGACAGACACACAGATGATGTTACGTTGTTTGTAGAGAAAAACCACCATTCTTCGATTGCATAAACATAGTCACATGGTAGTACTGTTTAGAGAATAAACACCAGTTTTGGACTACATTAACAACTTGGCACGACCAACAAACAAATAATTAAGAATATGACCACATGCCAATCTCTTGACTGATCCAACACAAAAAACAAAACAAAAACAACACTGCTCGGGCAACTACTTTTTACGTCGTTAGTGCACAAAACTTTTAACTCAAAATAAGGACAGACTAGGAATAAATTTTGTCTATAATGGAAATTACGACATACCTGATTGGCGAATCCAATACCAAAACCTAGTAAAATACGACCAACAATGAGCATAGCAACATTCTGAGCAAAGCCATTGATCAAAGCTCCAGCACAGAAGAGGACACCTCCAGAGAGCATAGAAAGTCTCCGTCCAAGTTTTCTGGTGACAGTAGATGCCACCAGAGACGACAAAAGAGCAGCCAAGTACAATGACGATGTGAACATCGTCAATGTTTGGCTGTCAAATTTGCAGTATTGATTTGTTGAATCATCTGCCTTTTGTTTCCTGAATACAGATGGGAAAAATCTACTCAAGAATGAGTCCATTGATGTCACACCCCCTGATCCAAACATAAAACAAACATCGTTATAATTTATTTTATACTGTCAGTACATACAAGATAAATCTTTTGTTTTTCCGCTGGATGTGCTTTACGTACCGGAAATTCCAATATCGTAACCGAAAATGAGACCACCCATGGCAGCGACAATGCAAGTAACAGTAACATAAAGAGTTAAATTGCCGGGATATTCTTTCCCGTTGCCGGGACCAATACCACCACCACCAGCCATCTTTCTGAGCTGATCGATCACAAAACAAGAACAAATTGTGGCAGAAGAAGTGATCAAGAAAAAGAAAAATGTTGAGAGAGAACTGTAACGTAAACTGGAGAAATATCAGATAAAAGCTAAGTGGAAAATGAAAGAGAGATTTGAGAGTAATTCAGAAATGAAGAGAAGAAATATAGAGGAGTAGCTGTGAGAAGGGAAGAGTATATATAGAAAGTGAGGGAGACTATTACAATGTCGTAAATCCGGGACTATATGCTGGACTCTCCTTAGCTGTCACGATGTTTTTTCTTAATAATTTTTTATTTAGCTGTCAAAATTATGCATAGAATCTTATCTCACGCTATTAAAACTTTAATTAATTGACGTGACAAAAAGAATAACGATAAACTCTTAACATATAGTTGACTCACTGTATTTTATAGAGAATTATAATTAAAATATACTAATAAAGAGATATTTATGCAAGAGGTGAACTGTAGATAATTTCTCAAAAATTTCTATATTCCAAACGAAATAATTTAGGTCTCCCAACGGATTTTGGAATATTTAAAAAGTTTATTGTTGATGTTGTGGAATGTGAACTCGGAAGTTTTTGATTGGGCATCTTATTGATTCTAATTCAATCTAATTCAAAATTGTAGCTAGCCTTAAATCTATTAGAAATTTAGAATGTGTAACATTGTTGTAGCCTTGTAGGGAATTAATGAATTATTGTTTATGGATATAACATTATACAATTATTATCTCATGAACTGCTTGTTGAGGTTAAGTTAGGTTTAAGGTCTTTTTTTTAATATGGTATTGAGGCCAGACTCAATATTCTCGGTTTTATTTTCTCTTACATGTTTAGCTAATTCTGATCATCTGAAGGTGTTAATTATAATGTCTCACATTAGCCGAAGAAACAAATAATTATCTTCTTATATGATAGCCTTGGATAATCTTCAATAAACTTAGAAAGTTGACATATATTTAAAATTTATTTTCTTAACAAATTTGCACAAGATGCTTGGAAACAAGTTGAGTTAGGCCAAAGGTCACGTAACCATACGAATAAATAGTTGCCTTGAATTTATACTGGATAATAATAAAAGATGCAAGTCTTGTATATATTAGTTCAAGTTTATGTGGGAATTGGGAAATGGTGTGTAAGGAAATTAAGTGTTTATTTGGGGTTCCTGGTAGACGGCAGTCAAATGAGGGAGTTCCCACTCTTGGTAATACACATCAGCCTTTTGTCATCTAATTTATCTCTATCTTTTCTTACTTGGGATATACTGGCCATTTGGTGGCAAATATTTCCACCTAGCTTTGCTGGGTTTGGTTGACTTTCTTTTTCAAGAGCGTTTACTTCGACCAAAAGGGATGACAATTCATATCCTTAGAACATTTTGAGAATATATTTAGACAAGAAAAAATAGAGCTTTTAGAAACCGAAAATTGTCAATATTTTGGAGAAAACGGTTCATGTTATATTGAAAAAATAATTAAAATGGTATATAGAAATAAAAATACTTGAAAATAATGTGCTCCTCATATATTAATTTTTTCCCTTCTAGAACGGAATGAGTAGTATCTTTTATTATGTGAAAGTGGAAAACAGATACCAAGTGTTTGACTAATAATAAATCTCGAGCAAGACAGGTTTTTTATTTATTAAGACTATCTTAAAGACGTCTACCTTATCCATTTACGAATATTACTTCGGAGTAACATCAGTGTGTATGGAAAGCCATTAACTACTTTGTTAAGCAATCCTTAAATTAAGGATAATAATTAAACAAAGTTACTTTCATAGATTATGTCATGGGCGGTTATTTGATGAGCTACTCATCACTTCTACTTTATTAGAGTGATTAGTGATGGTGCAGTCCAGTTCTAAATCTATTCGTGTGAAGCAAGCATTTTACCTATACCAGATTGAATATGATTATAGTACCATTAATCTATATTATATTAAAAGAAGAGTAGTATGCATTGTGGTTAAGCCAAGTGGTAAGCTAAAATAAATCCACTTGGCAATTGTAGGACAACATTAATTATTAGAAATTATAAATGGAAACATAATTAAAGGAAGTAGTTTAATGAATCTTATACATAATCCAAATATATCTTAGACAAATCTAATCTCTCTCTTTTTTTTTTTTATATATATATATATATCCACTCATAGAGTTTCTTCTAAATTAGCTAGAAATATGGAGGTAAAAAATTAATTAAAAAACTAAAATAGAAAAAAATAAAAAATATAAAAAGACGTATATTGAGATAACCTATGACTATTTATACTTTGAAGTAAGTTTAAATATAAAATAAAACTTACTTAAGATATTAAAGATTTATTGACTTCAAAAATTAAAAAAATTCTAGCAGTAAAATAAGATCTTACGTAAAGTATAGAATTATTTATAAGATAAGAAAAAACTTAAATATTATATATATATATATATATATATATATATTATATTATATTATATTAAAAGGAATATAGTGAGGCATGACATTAAGCCAAGTGGCATATTCAGAAAATGT